AGCTGAAATCCCGGAGGATTTCGAAACTGTTGTTTCATGTCCAGTAAATCTCGTTTGTGCGTTTTGGGTTTCTCTTCCATAGTATCAACATAATAGTGTTTTACCATTCATCGATGATAATGATTATAATATTGGTAATGGTAGTAGTAATAATAATAATAATGATGATGATTATCATTATCATTATTATTTTCATTACCAAGAAGGTTATGTTTTTGGTAGCGCGTTAATTAGTTGGTTAGTTGGTTAGCAGGATAAATCGAAAAGTTATGAACAGATTTAAATGAAAGACTTACCAGATATGTGTCAAAGCCCAACTAAAAAGCGTCACACTAGTCCTCTCTGTCCTGGAATCCGTAGACAGCCTCGCCTCAAGTCAGCTGACCATTCAAAAAGCTGTAGTCTAGGGATCTCAGGACAGAGGAGACTAGTGTGACCCTGGCATTAGATGTCATTAGATTCTGGTGGTGATCCGGATCACCTTCTGGACCCGGGAATCATGAATGTAATTCTTCAAGCGTGATCATTTTCAATGCATCAGTAACCTTATTGCCTTCACGGAGGTATGCGCTCTCTGAATGCTTCTAATTATTATTATTATTGATATCATTATCATTATAATAATTATTGTTAATGTAGTTATCATAATGCTGATAATAACAATAACAATTAAAAAATAATTATTATAATGAAGATAGCGATGATCCCAATGATACTACTATTAGTACTCCTGTGACTACTAAGGATGACAATGATAATGATAACAATTATAATGACAGTAATATCAATTATAATGATAATGAAAATAATGAGAATAATAAGGAACATCGATATTATAGAAATAATAGTAATAATGTTATATTGATAGCAACAACAACAATAATAATAGGGATAAAAATAATAATATCAATGGCAACAATAATAATGATGGTGATCATCATAATAATAATATTAATGGTAATAATGACAATGATGATGCTGACGATGGTCATGATGATGGCGATAATGATAATAATAATTATAATAATAGCAACAATAATAATAATGATAATAATAATAATAATAATGATAATGATAAAGATGATGAAAATAAAAATTAGTAATAATAATAATAATGATAATAATAATAATGATAATGATAATGATAATAATAATAATAATAATAACACTAATGATAATAATAACAATGGTGGTGATAATAATAATAATAACAATAATAATAATTATAATAATAATAATAATAATAATAGCAATAATAATAATAATAATAATAATAAAAAAATAATAATGATAATAATAATAATAATAATAATAATAATATCAGCAACAGCAACACCAATAACAACAACAACAATAATAGTAGTAATAAATGCAATGACAACAATGCTAAAAATTATAGTAACAATGAAAATAATGATAATACTCATGGTTACAGTAATAATAGTAATAATAACAAATAAAATTGATAATGAAATTAAAGCATCTGCATTAAATGGCGCAACACGCGAGAGGTCTTCGACGGGCGAAAGGGACCGAGCCTCACGTTAGCCAAACATTATGTCCATCCCGGGCACGATCACACCATTAAGTTTGGCGAAAGGCTATTTCATCTTTCTTTTTTCTGGGGTCTGGTGAGGACTGGCGGGTAAGGCGATACTGATCTCCAGTGTTCTTTCCTCCCTCCCTCCCTCCCTCCTCCCCCCTCTCTCTCTCGCTCTCTCTCTCTCTCTCTCTCTCTCTCTCTCTCTCTCTCTCTCTCTCTTCTCTCTCTCTCTCTCTCTCTCTCTCTCTCTCTCTCTCTCTCTCTCTCTCTCTCTCTCTCCCACTCCTCTCTTTCTCTCCTTCGATGTAGCCTCTTATCAGCGATACGAATTAAGGCAAGGAGATGGCGAAAGACCAAGATGATATCTTGACATACGATTGTCCAGTCTGAATTTGAATTAAAAGAAGAAAAAGAAGAGAAATTGATGCTGATATTTTCTCTCTAAGCATCGCTCACCACACGACTAATGCTGATTGCGAGAGAGGGAGAAAAATGGGGATGAATTTTATATCTCCCGATTCGGAGGCCAACGGCGAATTAAATCAATCGAAGAAAGAAAACTGATTTTATGAATCGGATATAAGGCGTGATTATCTGCTCCGTGTTTTTTTTTTTTTTTTTTTTTTTTTTTTTTTTTTTTTTTTGATGTGGAGCAACGGCTGATGAACAGACAGATATAGATTCAGAGAGAGAGANATCCCTCCCACCTTCTCCCCCTCCCTCCCTCCTTACGTCTCATTCCTCCTCCTCTCGTCCCTCCTCTCCTGCCTGCCTCAGCTCCCCTTCCCTCCCCTCCTTCTCCTTCCCTCCCTCCCTTACTCCCTTTCCCTCCCTCACTCCCTTCCTCCCCTCACTACTCCTCTCCTTCCTTCCCTCACACCCTTCCTCTCCTCTCTCCCTCACTCCCTTCCCTTCTCCGCCCACCAGGACGAGGAGCCCAGTGTTCCTCCGTCAGCATCACGAACGACTGGGGAGCAGCTACATGGCCCAGTTTTCCGGCGACCCTCCGGCAAGTTCCTTCGTCGATCGGCTGACAGTTCGAGCTGACCCTTCGTAAGTCCGTGAGCGAAATCTGGCAGTCAGTCTCTCTATTGCTGTTCTCTTTCTTTCTTTCTTTCTCTGTTGTTTTCTCTATATATCTATCTATCATCTATGGTATACTTAATCTCTTTTTTGTCTCTCTCTCTCTTTCTCTCTCTCTCTCTGTCTTATTCTATCTACTCTATACCTCTATATCTCGTATATGTCTAGCCTATCTATTCTCTATACCTCTTATAATCTTATATGTCTCTCTCTCTCTCTCTATCTCATCTATTCTATCTATCTATCTATCTATCTATCAGTCCATCTCTCTCTCTCTCTCTCTTCTCTCTCTCTCTCTCTCTCTCTCTCTCTCTCTGCTCTCCTTCTCTCTCCTCCTCTCTCATTCTTTCCTTGGCCCTTTTCTACTTTTTCTTTGTTTCTTTTTCGTCAAATTCTTTCTTTCTGCTTTCTGCCTGCTTCTCTCTTCTTTTTCAGTGTATTCCCTTTTTGTTATTATTTTTATATGATTTATATAGATAGAGATAGATAGATAAATATAAATTATCTGTCTTTGTCACTTACTATTTCTCTTCTTCTGTGATTTATTTTTGTCTTTTTTATCCCTTTGTTTTTCTTCTCCTTCGCTATTTTCATTTTTCTTATTATATAATTACCATATAATTCTTCCTAAATATTTATTCTTCTAATTACTACTACCTTCTCCTTTCCCCTTCTTATTATTTTTTTCCTTCTTTCCTACACCTTTCTCTTTTTCCCCCATCTCTTATTTTTTATCTTTTTTTCTGCTTGTTCCTCGTTCTGTCTCTATGCTGTATTTATATCTTCTTCTCTTCTCCATGTTGTCTATATATTTCTTTTTTTCTTCTTCTTCTCCTTATATTATATTATTATATTATTTTCTTCTTCACATCACGTGATATTTATTGACAGTTGCTCTACTTAATATACCATAGACATTATTATTTCCATATCTTTCCTTATCTTTCTTTCTTTGATTCCCCTCATCGCTCTCTCTCCTCTCTCTCTCTCTCTCTCTTCTCCTCTCTCCTCTTCTCTTCTCTCTCTCTCTCTCTCTCTCTCTACCTCATCTCTCTTTCTCTCTCCTCTCTCTCTCTCTCTCTCTCTCTCTCTCCTCTCTCTTCTCCTCCTCTCTCTCCTCCTCCTCTCTCCTCTCTCTCTCTCTCTTCTCTCTCTTCTGTTGTGTTGTGTCTCTCTGTGTCTCTCTGTGTCTCTCTTGTCTCTCTGATCATCTCTCTCTCTCTCTCATCTCTCTCTCTCTCTTCTCATCTCATCTCTTCTCCTCTCTCTCTCTCTCTCTCTCTCTCTCTCTCTGCCTCTCTCTTTCTCTCTCTCTCTCCTCTCTCTCTCTCTCTTCTCCTCTCTCTCTCCTCTCTCTTACTCTCTCTCTTTTCTCTTTCTCTTTCTCTCTCTTTCATCTTTCTCTCTCCTCTCTCTTCTCTCATCTCTCCTCTCTCTCGCTCTCTCCTCTCTCTCTCTCTCTCTCTTCCTCCTCTCTTCTCTCTCTCTCTTCTCTCTCTTCTCTCTCTGTCTCTCTCTCTCTCTCTCTCTCTCTCTCTCTCTCTCTGTCTCTTCTCTCCTCTTTCTCTCTCTCTCTCTCCTCTCTCTCCTCTCTCTCTCTTCTCTCTCTCTCTCTCTCTCTCTGCTTCTCTGCTCTCTCACTCTCTCTTTCTTTCTTACTCTTTCTCCTCTCTCTCCCAAACCACCCTTCCCCTCACCCATATCACTGCTCACTCTCCCCCCTCCCTCCCACAACCCCATTCTCGCCCTCACCCTCCTCTCCCCCTCCTCCCTCCCTCCCACACCCATTCTCGCCTCTCCTCACCTCCACCCCTCCTCCTCCTCCCTCCTCCCTCCTCCCTCCCCCCACACCCTTCTCGCGCCTTAACCACCTCCTTCCCTCCTCTCCCTCCTCCCTCCCTCCCTCCCACCCCCCACACCCATTCTCGCTCCAAACTCACTCTCACCCCTCCTCTCACCCCTCCCTCCCTCCCTCCCTCCCACACCCATTCTCGCTCTCACCCCTCCTCCACCCTCTCTCTCCCTCCCTCCCTCGCCTCCACCGCCCATCTCGCTCCAAACTCACTCTTCACCCTCCCCCCTCCCACACCCATTCTCGCCCTCACCCCTCCTCTCCCCCTCCTCCCTCCCTCCCTCCCTCCCTCCCTCCACACCCATGCTCGCTCCAAACTCACTCTTCACCCCTCCTCTCCCTCCCCTCCCTCCCACACCCATTCTGGCCCTTCACCCTCCTCTCTCCCTCCCTCCCTCCCTCCCTCGCCTCCCACCACATTTCTCGCTCCCAAACTCACTCTCACCCCTCCTCTCACCCCCCCTCCTCTCCCTCTCCTCCCTCCCACGCTCTCACCCCTCCTCTCCCCCTCCCTCCCTCCCCAGTTCTACGCGGGCGTGGTCGAGTGGCACGATGACAAGTACTTCAAGCTGGTGTCCTCGGGTGGGCCAAGCGGAGCCAGGCTGGGACGTCGAGTTCGAGTTCAAGTCGACTACGCCGGGCGCCCAAACCTTCAGTCATAGCGCGGTCATGAATGGGGCAGACACGTGTGGTGAGTTGAGTCAATGGGGGGGGGAGGTTGGTGTGGGGGGAGGAAGGGGAGGGAGATGGGGAGGAAGAATTGGGAAGGGAAGGGGGAGGGGGATGGGGATGGGGATGGGGAGAGATTGGGGGGAGGAAGGGGATGGGAAGAGATTGGGAGGGAGGGGGATAGGGGAAGAAGTTAGTTGGGAGGGGGAGAGAGGAGGAGGAGTTGGGAGGGATGGGGGAGGAGTGAGAAGAGGAAGGGGATGGGGAGAGAGGAGAAGGGAATTGAGGAGGGGGGGAATCTTGGAGAGGAGTGGAGAGCTGATGGGGAGAGATTGGGGGCGAGGAGTGGAGAGGGAACTTCATGTGGGGAAGGAGGAAAAAAAAAGTTTATGGGGAGGAAAGGAGGGTTGTACGGAGGAGAGGGAAGGTACTGGGATTGTACATGAGGGGAGGGAGTTAGGGGGAAACAGGATATATGTGTATTTCTATTAATATCTGTGAGTAATACTAAGGGATGCTACTGTGACGGGGACGACCAGGCTAATTAACACGAGTGTAACACCTTGCTTGCTAAAATAAATCATAAATTCTATCGTAAATCTATCCAGTTCTATTTCTATCTTATCCTTATCATCACAATCATCATTATCATAATTTCTCTTCACCCCCCCCTCCCTTTCCTCCCCCAGGTGGCGGCGGCGTGGTGACCCAACCCCCCATGGAAAGCCCCTGTGACCCACAGGCATGACACCCTATGACTACGGACAGGTAGGAGTTGGAACACGTCGAAGGGAGGGGGGTGCAGGGGTTGGGTGGAAGAGGGTGGGGGGAGGGAGGCGCTATGGGTGATGTAGTGTGGTTGTGGTGTGAAGTGACGAGGTGCGATGTGGTGGTATGATATAGTGCGATGGGGTGTGAGCTGATGTTGTGGTGGGTTGCTGATACACTGTACGAGAGTTATGTTGTGTGGTATTGATACGGCTGGGTGTGGTGTGATGAGATACGATGCATGGCTTGCGGTGTAATGCAGTCCGTCTTACAAAGATAACGAATTTGAGGTAAAGAAAAATCTCTTTTTAAAAATGAAGTTATTTTATTATTTGTGTGTGTGTGTAGGTGTGTGTACATATTATTTATCTATCATATACATACGTATATATATATATATATATATATATATATATATATATATATATATATATATAATGTATGTAGTATATATATATATATATAATTATGATATATGATAATTAAAGCATTCTTATCACTGTCCCCAAAAATATCAATAAAACACGTAACCCCTCATTAAAAACCTCCCCCCCCCCTCCCCCCTCGCCAGGCGCGCTTGTGCTTCTCCCTGTTCTACGAGGCGCAGAGGTCAGGTCCTCTCCCCGCTGACCAGAGGGTGACCTGGAGGAAGGACTCGGCGGTCAACGATGGGTCAGATGTGGGGCGCGACCTGTCTGGAGGATATTACGATGGTGAGGCAAGGAGGGAGGTGATGAAAGGGGTGAAAATGGCGATGCAATGATGATAATTAAGAGCTGGAGGTTATACAGAGAAGGAATGATGGATATATGAGATAAGATATCAGAAAAAAACACATACACATACAGAAACATACACACACACACACACACACACACACCTCTCCCACACTTCCCCACTTACTCTTCCACTCCCTACCTCCCCCCCACACACACCCTCCACATACACCCATCCCATCCCCATCCCTCCTCCCCCTTACACCCAGCCCACCCCCATCCTCCCCACCCAACTCATGAGCACTCACCCAACCCCTCCCTCTACTCCTCCTAACACCCACCCACCCCATCCTCCCCTCCTCCCTTACACTCCCCTCCACATACACCCCCCTGAGCCCCCCCCCATCCTCCCCAAGCCCAAACCCTCTCCCCTACACCCACACCCCTCTTCCTCCTCCCCCTTCACACCCACCCACCCCATCTCCCCTCCTCCTTACACACCTCCTCCACATACACCGCAACCCCCCCCCCCTCTCACACACACACCCACCCCTCACACCCACCCCATCCTCCCCTCCCCAACCCACACCCCCTCCCTCTCATCCCCCCTCTCCCTTCCCCCCCTCTCACCCCCACCCCCTTCCCTCCCCCTCTCACCCCCCCCCTCACCCTCCCTCCTCTCACCCCCCCCCCCATCCTCCCCAACCCACACCCCTTTCCCCCTCTCACCCCCACCCCTCTTCCTCCCCCAACAGCCGGTGATTTCGTGAAATTCGGCTTCCCGATGGCCTTCACAGCGACCGTGCTTGCTTGGGGCCTCGTCGACTTCCCCGCCGGGCACCAGACGGCAGGTAGGTTGCTTGGGGACTTGCTTTCGTGCTTGATTCCTGGCTTTCGGGTTGACCTTGATTGGGATGGTGGTTTGTGTAGGTCCGTTTTATTTTATTTTTTTTTTCTTTCTTTCTTTCTTTTTTTTGCGGATCATTTAGTTTAGTTTATTTATTATTATTATTTTTTTTTTAAGGGGATTCATTTATCTTTTTTTTTTTCAAGGGGATTCATTTATCGTTTTTTTTTATAAGTGGATTATTTACCTTTTTTTAAGGGGGGGTCATTTAGCGTTTCGTTTATGTAGTATTCTGTATATTTCTTGTAATAGTTATCAATGTCATTATCATTATTGTGATTATCATTTTGTCATCATCATTATTATTGTGATTTTTATTATTATTGTTGTTGTTTTTGTTATCACCATCATCCTCGTTATATTTTATACCATTTTACTTTAATTTCAATTTATTTATTCATGTGAAACAAAAACAGTGTTACTATTCTATTTTTGTAACGACCGTTATCTTGTTAATGTTGAATTCGAAAGAAATCATCCAGAAATTATTGTATTAAAACATTTAAAAAATGTCGGAAATTATTGCACTAAAACGTACTCAAAAATTATGGAAATTATAGCACTAAAACGTATTCAAAATGACGGAAATTATTGCACTAAAACATTCCAAAAATGACAAAAATTATTGCACTAAAATGTATTTCAAAATGACGGAAATCATTGCACTAAAACGTATTCAAGAATTATGGAAATTATAGCACTAAAACGTATTCAAAATAACGGAAATTATTGTACTAAAACATTCCAAAAATGACAAAAATTATTGCACTAAAATGTATTTAAAAAATGACGGAAATTACTGCACTAAAGCGTATCTAAAAATACGGAAATTATTGCACTAAAACGTATTTAAAAAATGCGGAAATTATTGGACTAAAACATTTAAAAAACAACGGAAATTATTTTGCTAAAAACGTATTAAAATGATTATTAAAAACGCAATTTAACCATTTCTTTCCCTCCACTCTGGATCCACCACCACTGTCCAAAAACTCTAGAATATTCCATCCAATCCAAAAAAGCGTCTCATTCATATTCATATTTCTCTCTTCCATTATCATTGTTGTTTATGTAGATTTTCTTTCGCTATACATCATTTAGAAGGAAAACTGTGGTCACATTTCGTCATTCATTTACCTACCGCTTCCTTTACTACCTTTCCTTCTATGAATATATTTTGCCACTTTTTTCAGAAAAATACTAGTGTCATATTTTCTTCCATGTCACTACCATTATTTAGGAGTGATTCTATATCATATTAATATCTCTCTCTTCTCTTGTCACTGTAGCTTTCTTTTTTTCTTTCTTTTTTCTTACCAAATATTCCAATATTAATATTTCTCTCTTCCCTTACCACTGTAGTTTTCTTTTTTTTTTCTTTCTTTCGTTCTTTTTTTCTTACTAAATATTCCCATATTAATATCTCTCTCTTCCCTTACCTCTGTAGCTTTCTTTTTTTCTTTCTTTTTTCTTACCAAATATTCCCATATTAATATCTCTCTCTTCCATTGCCACTGTATTTTCCCTTTTTCTTTCTTTTTTTCTTACTAAATATTCCCATATTAATATCTTTCTTCCATTGCCACTGTAACTTTCTTTTTCTTTCTTTTTCTTACCAAATATTCCCATATTAATATCTCTCTTCCCTTACCACTATCTTTCTTTTTCTTTCTTTTTTTTACCAAATATTCCCATATTAATCTCTCTATCTTCCCTTACCACTGTAGTTTTCTTTTTTCTTTCTTTCTTTTTTCTTACCAAATATTTTGTCCTTCAATGTTTGCAATTGCAGGTCAGACCGAGTATGCCAGAGCAGCTGTGAAGTGGGCCACTGACTACTTCCTTAAGGCTCACACTTCATACTTTGAACTCTATGGCCAGGTATGTAGTTGTGTGGTTTAGTGTGTTATATACAGGTTGTATATATCCTGCCATGTATAGTTTATTGACGTTGTATGTATATTGTTGTGTATTGTGTATAGGTGTAGTATATATCTTGTGCAAAGTGTACTGTGTAAAGTTGTCTATCTCATATCGTGCAGAGTATGTTAGTATTATATGTATCTCACCATATGTTATGCACTGGTGTTGAATATCATGTCATGTGTATTATAATGCACTGGCATATTGTGTATTGTTGTCCCAAATTTCTGCCATTTATAATGCACTGAAGTTGTGTAGCTCTGGCCATTTGTAGTGCATTAGTGGTTTATACCTCCCGCCATATAATAAATTGGTGCTGTATATCCCCCGTACGATATTGAATTTTTGTTTCTGTGTATCGAATTAGAGTGAAAATAGGATGTCCGTGTGTAAGGTGGGGTGAAAAGGTAATAGAGAGAGAGAAAAAGAGAGAGAGAGAGAGAGAGAGAGTCCCATTTCTGTATGGGTTGCCGTTAAGGATGAGCCGCCTCCACTGATTATTACGGCTCAATCCATACTGGTTTTGGCATGGGTTTTTATGGTCGGATGCCCTTCCTGACACCAACCCTCTCTATTTATCCGGGCTTGGGACCGTACATCCAAACGAATGGTACACATTTACAACCTCCCATAACCCAGGCCATCGCCATATAGGCGAAGTAATAAGAAACCAGAATGGGACACAATATAACAAAATATAACAAGTATGAAAAAAAAAAACATATTACAACTACAATTTTTAACAAGATACGAAAAAAAACACATATTACAACTACAACTTTTAACAAGATACGAAAAAGCCACATATTAAAACTACAATTTTTAACAGATACGAAAAAGCCACATATTACAACTACAACCTTTATCAGCTGTTATCTTCCTCCTGCTCTCCGTGTCACAGGTGGGCGACGGGTACGCTGACCACGCCTACTGGGGCCGCCCCGAGGAGATGACGATGGCTCGACCCTCCATGAAGATTGATAACGACCACCCAGGTACGGCGGCCATTGCGTGGGGGGAGAAGTGAAATTGGGGGAGAAAGAGGGTAAGAAAATAATGACGAAAATGGATGGAGATCGGAAGGAGAGAAGGGAGGAAAGAGAAGGATTTAAGAAGGTACTTTGTTGTGATGTGTTTAGAATCAGAGGGAGATGAGTATTACTGTGACGTGTACAGAAGGTCATGTTTTCCTTTGAAATTGGGGCACTTTCTTGACCTCTTCAACAAGGCATTTTTCTTCCCATGAACTTGACGAAAAGGTTACTTTTGATACGGAGAAGGAAAAGGACAGGACCCTTAAGTCAGCCCTTGCTTGCATATCCCTAGTTAAGAAGAATAGAGATAAATATATAAATATAAAAAATAAACAAAGAAAAGAAAAATACCATAGAGTTTCACAATCAAGAAAAAACACAAAGCTTTTCACAAGAAAAAAAGAAACGAAAAATTTCATAGAGCTTTACAATAAAGAAAAAAAATCATTCAAAGCTTTTCCCTAAAAAAAAAAGAAAAGAAAAGAAAAGAAAAAATCCATTAAGCTTCACAACAAATAAAAAAAATAATTCAAAGTTTTCCCCTCAAAAAAAAAGTAAATAAAGAAAAGAAAATTCCCCTAGAGCTTCACAATATAGAAAAAATCATTCAAAGATTTTCCCTCAAAACATAGATAAAAGAAAGAAAGCAAAAATCCCTCAAAAAAACATTCATAGACCTTCACAACAAAGTAAAAAATCATACAAAACTTTTCCCTCAAACTCAATAGCCAGTCAGTGTCCAAGCCTCATCCTCAGAAGAAAATTAATAAGAAAAGGAGTATTGAACAAACGTTTTCCACTTCATTCTGTTCATAAACGTTTTTTTCCTCAGGCACGGAGTTGGCCGGAGAGACAGCTGCTGCTCTTGCCGCTGCGTCTATCGCCTTCAAGGTTTGCAGCTTTAATATTTATAGAATTTTATGATGTAGACTTTTTATAATGTAAACAATGAGCTAATTTGGAGCTAAGGATTATGCATTAACGTTTAGTCATTTCTGAAAAAAAAAAATGCTTCGTTTTTTTGTTTTTTTTTATTCTTTCTTTCTCTTTTTTCTCTCTTTTATTTGCCTTCTTTCTTATTCCCGTTATTTGTATCCCTTAAAGCTTATTCCTTCTTTTATTTGTTATATTTCTTATTCCCGTTATTTAAAGCCTATTCTTTCTTTTATTTTTGTCTTCTTATTTCCGTTATTTGTATCCCTTAAAGCTTATTATTTCTTTTTTCATGTGTCTTATTTCTTATTCTCGTTATTCGTATCCCGTAAAGCTTATTCTTTCTTTTATTTTGTTTTATTTTTTATTCCCGTTATTTGTATCCCTTAAATCTTATTCTTTCTTATATTCTTGCCTTATTCCTGTCATTTGTATCCCATGAAGCTTTTTTTATTTGTCTTACTTCTTATTCCCGTTATCTGTATCCCTTAAATCTTATTCTTTCTTTTATTCATTTGTCTTATTTCTTATTCCCGTTATTTGTATCCTTTAAAGCTTATTCTTTCTTTTAATTTTGCCTTCTTATTCCCGTTATTTATATCCCATGTAGCTTATTCTTTCCTTCTTTTATTTGTCATATATCTCATTCCCGTTATTTAAAGCTTATTCTTTCTTTTATTTTTGCCTTCTTATTCCCGTCATCTGTGTCCCATAAACCTTATTCTTTCTTATATTTTTGTCTCATTTCTTATTCCCATTATGTGTACCCCTTAAACCTTATTCTTTCTTATATTTTTGTCTCATTTCTCATTCCCGTTATTTATATCCCATGTAGCTTATTCTTTCTTTCTTTTATTTGTCATATATTTCATTTCCGTTATTTAAATTTTATTCTTTCTTTTATTTTTGCCTTCTTATTCCCGTTATTTGTATCCCATAAACCTTATTCTTTCTTATATTTTTGTCTAATTTCTCATTCCCGTTATTTGTATCCCTTAAACCTTATTCTTTCTTTTATTTTTTTCATTTCTTATTCCCGTCATTCGTATCCCTTAAAGCTTATTCTTTCTTTTTTTATTTGTCATATTTCTAATTCCCGTTAATTGTATCCCATAAAGCTTATTATTTCTTCTATTTTTGTCTTCATATTCCCGTCATTTGTATCCCTTAAAAGCTTATTCTTTCTTTAATTTGCCATATTTCATTCTTATTCTTTTTTTATTTTATCATATTTCTTATTCCCGTCTTTTGTATCCCATAAACCTTATTCTTTCTTATATTTTTGTCTCATTTCTCATTCCCGTTATCTGTATCCCTTAAAGCTTATTCTTTCTTTTATTTTTTTCATTTCTTATTCCCGTTATTTGCATCGCTTAAAGCTTAGTCTTTTTTTTTGTTTTCTTATTCCCGTTATTTGTATCCCATGAAGCTTATTATTTCATTTTTTATTTGTCATATTTCTTATTCCCGTTATGTGTATCCTTTAAAGCTTAGTCTTTCTTCATTTATCTTATTTCTTATTCCCGCTATTCGTATCCCTTAAACCTTATTCTTTCTTATATTTTTGCCTTATTCCCATAAAGCTTATTATTTCTTTTATTGTTGTCTTCATATTTCTCATTATTTGTATCCCTCAAAAGCTTATTATTACCTTTTCTCTTCTCGTTTGTAGGACTCGGACCCGACCTACTCGAGCCAGATGTTGGAAGTGGCGAAGGAACTCTACGACTTCGCTGACCAACGCCGCGAGAACTACGACGTGTCCATCCCCGGCGCTGCGGACTTCTACAAGTGAGTGGCCGGAAGGAAGGGTTGAGATCATGAATAAATTAAGTGAAGGATTTTTATTTATTTATTTATTTATTTATTTTTATTTTTTTTTTGGGGGGGTAGATTAAGCGAATGACTTCTGTGGGGAAAAATGAGGGAATGATTTCTTTGGTGGATAAAAAAGATTAAGTGAATGCCTTAAGTGAAAAAAAAATGGTGAATGATTTCTTTGGTGGATTAAAAAAGATTAAGCGAATGACTTCTGTGGGAAAAGTGGTGAATGACTTCTTTTGTGGAAAAAAATTAAGTGAAAACAATGGTGAATGACTTCTTTTGTGGATTAAAAAAGATTAAGCGAATGACTTCTGTGGGAAAAGTGGTGAATTATTTCTTTTGTGGGAAAAAATATTAAGTGAATGGCTTAAGTGAAAGAAAAATGGTGAATGACTTCTTTTGTGGATAAAAAAGATTAAGCGAAAGACTTCTGTGGAAAAAATAGCGAATGATTTCTTTGGTGGAAAAAAATAAGCGAATGCCTTAAATGAAAAAAAAAAATGATGAATGACTTCTTTTGTGGATAAAAAAGATTAAGCGAAAGACTTCTGTGGAAAAAATAGCGAATGATTTCTTTGGTGGAAAAAAATAAGCGAATGCCTTAAATGAAAAAAAAAATGGTGAATGACTTCTTTTGTGGATAAAAAAGATTAAGCGAATGACTTCTGTGGGAAAAGTGGTGAATGATTTCTTTGGTGGAAAAAAAATTTAAGCGAATGCTTTTTGTGAAAGAATGTAGCGAATGACTTTTGTGTAAAAAACATGGATTTTTTTTTTTTTTTTTTTTTTCTCGAGGGTAAGGTTCAATGGTGTATTTCTATGCTGTCGTTGTGTACTTTTTTAGCCTCTGTGATATCAACCATGTGCTCATTATAATGTTTACTTTGTATTTCTGTCTCGCCATCTCGCCGATAACATCATGGACCTTACCACCTACATAGCCATGAAAATCCACACGGTCACCTAAGTCTGCATCACACACACCACCAACGTAACCACCATCACTACGACCATTGACAACCACATGATCACCAGTCTTCACCACACACCACCAGGGATACCACCATTACCATAACCTCCATCACCCATAACTAACACGAGCATCATGTCCCCAAATTCACGACGATCCTCTGCAAATCCCTAAAAGAGGAACATAATAAGGCGACTTTTAAATGGGTGAGCGTTGGCATGAACTTTCTCGCAACAGAAAACGGGAAATATCAGTCGCGAAGCCAATCGAAGAAAACGAAATTCTGGTTTTTGAAGGGGTAACTAAAGTAAAAATCGTAAATGAACCTCTGCAGAGTTTTTACGAGGCCCGACCACCATCAGGTCGTGGAGCGGCTACGGGGACGAGCTGTGCTGGGCTGCGCTGTGGCTGGCTCGTGCGACGGGCGACTCCAGCTACATGACGAAGGCCAGGCAGCACTGGGACGAATTCGGAATCTCGAACGGCGCTGACGGCTTCAACTGGGACGACAAGAAGGGAGGAGTTTATGTAAGTCAGGAGGACAATCGGTCAGTGATTTTCAGCTAAGAATGTGGTTAAAATTGTTATTATATTGGGTTTGTTCTAAGGGGATCTTGCTTGAAAATGCTATATCGGGAGACGACTTTTTTCAAGTTAAATACGTCAGACGGAATTTTATATAGTTTCAAATTAAGCAGTTTTCCAAATAATTATGTCAGTTTATTCTTCCTATAGCCGTTACACAGGTCACTGTTTACATTAGGTGTTTTAATGGTATTTTAACTTCTGTTTACATTGGTGTTTTAATGGTATTTTAACTTGCATTAGGTGTTTTAATGGTATTTTAACTTACTTCTGTTTACATTAGGTGTTTTAATGGTATTTTAACTTACATTAGGTGTTTTAATGGTATTTTATCTTACTTCTGTTTACATTAGTTGTTTTAATGGTATTTTATCTTCTGTTTACATTAGGTGTTTTAATGGTATTTTATCTTCTGTTTACATTAGGTGTTTTAATGGTATTTTAACTTACTTCTGTTTACATTAGGTGTTTTAATGGTATTTTAACTTCTGTTTACATTATTTAATGGTATTTTATCTTACGGTTTACATTAGTGTTTTAATGGTATTTTAACTTACTTCTGTTTACATTAGGTGTTTTAATGGTATTTTATCTTCTGTTTACATTAGGTGTTTTAATGGTATTTTATCTTACTTCTGTTTACATTAGGTGTTTTAATGGTATTTTAACTTACTTCTGTTTACATTAGGTGTTTTAATGGCATTTTAACTTACTTCTGTTTACATTAGGTGTTTTAATGGCATTTTAACTTACTTCTGTTTACTTAGCTTCTATTTACATTAAGTGTTTAATGGTATTTAACTTACTTCTGTTACATTAGGTGTTTTAATGGTATTTTCTACTTCTGTTTACATTAGGGTTTTAATGGTATTTTATCTTCTGTTATTTATGTATTTATATTCTTTTATCCTTTTTCGCCCGTTAAAGGCCCTGTACGCCCTCATGGATTCCGACCCGACCTTCAGCGGCGCCCTGGCTGGCTTCGTCGAGCACATCCGCAACGACAAGCCCTACACGCCCGGAGGCCTCGTCTTCCTGGACCCGTGGGGCGCCAACAGGCACGCTGCCAACGTCGCCTACATCGCGCTCATGGTCAGGTCACGTAGGCACACGCACACGAACACACACACAACGCACACAGACGAACATGCACACGCGCACATGCACACGCACATGAACATGAACATGCGCACACGCATACGCATACGCATACGTACATGCACACACACACGCACACACACACACACACACACACACACACACACACACACACACACACACACACACACAACACAAACAAACAAACACACATACTCACGCACACACCAATACATACACACACGTACAATCCCTCAATGCAAATTAAGCCTATTATCAAATTAAAATCAATACTCGTATAAAAAAAAATCAAACGTTCAATACACTCCCTTAAAAAAAAAAATGAAAAAAAAAATTCCCCCACCCCCCACCCCGCCCACTACCCCCGCCCGTCACGCCCACCTCACAGGCCGCCAAATTAGGGATCGACCGCTGACGTTGA